CAGAGTTTATAATCCCAAGGCCCCCCACTCTGCTGTAGGAGCTTACATGGTACAATCACTTCAGAAAGCAACTGGCATGTCAAGTCATGTGGAAGACCCTGTAACTCAACAGTTCTTGGTGTTCAATGAAGAAATGAATCAGAAAATCTTAGCTCTATTGTTCGGAAGTAGTAAGAAACTGGAAACAACCTAATATCCACCGATACAAGAGTGGAATACTCATCCAATGCAGTACTGAAGGCAGTAAAAAACTAGAGCTGCAGAACAAAAAGAATGTTTCAGAAGAATACTTATAATATTTAATGTTTAAGGCATGCAGAATAATATATGCTGTTTGTGGGGGTGTGTAGTAAAAGACTACCTGAATAGAGATGAAAAGCACCAAATACTAGGGAGTAATTTCGTCAGGGAAGAAAAGTTGAAAAGTGTCCTATCTTAAGCTGAGTGGTGGGGTTTCAAGTATTGATTGTAATACAGTCTAGACTTTTTGTATTGCCTAAGTACTTCATAATAATTTTTAAAAGATGTTGCGGTTCAAGGGCAAAATGCATCTGTGGCCATTACTGTGTTTTAACCAACATCGCAGACAGCATTGAACTCAATTCCATTGTCTCCCAAAGCAGTCCGCAGTGCTCTTACCCCACGAGTCTGGAAAATCAGGAGGACTGGGTATGATGGAATAAAAATGCAAGAAGGGGAATAAAAGGTCAGGCTTTTAGGAGCCAGGAAACAAGTTGAGAGACATTTCTTGGTAACAAAAGTTAGTTTTTAGGTGAGCATTGGAAGAAAGAAGTTGAAAGTTAAGACTTTGTTTTTAAAATACATTTTTATTGATTTGAAAAAGATTTTTAGAGTACTACATCTTTATTGCACACCAGTTATGTTTTATATCTGTAGATAGCTAGTTATTACCATTGAAAAGGCCATGATATTCCTTTATTTGAAATTTATGCCAATTGACAACAGTACCAGTAAAAATCTGAGTCACAAAAAAGAGTCAGGTGTCACTAATAAGAGTTTACCTCTGTGTCATCTCCATGAGGGTTTTACTTCTGATTCCAAAGTCTTGTGTTTGTGGATTTAAAACAGTGTATGATCCTGTTATTGGGTTTGTTTGTGATTGAATACACAGTATAGTTCATGGAAAAATTAAGTTCAGCAATGAAAGAAAATGCTTTTTTGGCATCTGTTTGGTAAAATTTTGTCTTTGGTCCAGATTCTTTTCAGGGTTTCGGGCATATTCATATTGACACTCTTTTTCCAAGAGACTTTAGTTTGAATAGTGAAATTAGTGTTTCCTTATAACAACAAAACTTAGAAAAATGGCTTAAACTTGTACTTCTTCATGACAAAGAAAGTGTATTTATAAGCTAAATACTGACTGCCCCAACTTAGCTTGAAAAATGTACAGTTCTGTGTTATTTCTAATGTGTAAAACAGGTTTTAAAAATAATGTATAGGTTTTCCATTTTGGAAACATAATTATTGGATTTATGGGAAAACCAAACTTGGGTATATGTTTAATTTATCTTAATCCAGAGAAAGCTACAGAAAGTTGCTGTAGAGATAGAATACAATGACTTCCCTGGCCTGAATGTGAGGTTGTTGGAGTCTCAGTTCATTTTGTCACATTTCCCTGAGTCTTTTCTTTAGGGAGGTGCACACACCAAAGCACCTCGGAAATTGTATATGGATTGAACTAACAGTAGTTTCCAAGTATAGGACTTCTAAAGCTCCACATTCATTTGCTTTCCTTCCTTCACTTTTCATGATTACAATTGAATAGATAGGCTTTGTAACCTAACATCTCTGCCAGATATACCCCCAGTAGACTCTACTTGCGGGGGGAGCGGGCTCACTTTGGGGGAACAGAATTCACTCCAGCAAATCTGAGCAGAAAGAGACATGTTACGGGGTTTTTAATGGCTTACAAAATCATTGGGAAACTTACAGACTCCTCTTTCATACTTAATGGTAAACATTTCTGGAAAGATGGTTAACATGTCAACACGTATACACCACACAACAAAAACCAAGGAAATGAAAAGGAAGGAAAATCAAGTTCAACTATACTGAAATTAGGGAACAGATGTTAAATACTTCAAAAACTATGCGTCCGGTACAACACATTTTGGACCAACTTAAAAAGAATTCAGGAAGTTCAACGCACACTCTGCTTAAGATGTGTAGGAAATACTGTACTGGTTTCAAAGCACCATCAATGGTAAGACTATTAATTTTAAAACATTTTTTGGGAAGAAATACAAAGAACTGTGATTTGAATATTATTATCATGCCCTGATTTCAGAAACATGAAAATATGGAAAACGTGCATATTAAAAATCAGTCAAATAGAGTTAAGTAGAAGGGAACTGACATGTAATAATATGTTCACATATTAATCATAAGCCCACAGCAATTAAAATACTATTTGCACCAACATAATCATAATAATGAAAATGTTGGCAGGTAAATAGGGGAGGCAAGGATGTGGGGCACAGAGTATTTGGGGGCCAGGAATGACCACAGACTGAAATACCCAAGATGGAAATAGCAGCAGGGGGACTACGCCAAAAATCTGGGGGGAAGGTTGGAAGTCGGGGAGAAACAAAGTACTGAATCAAAAAAACAGAGCTGGAGCACATTAGGAGGGACATTTTCTGAGGAAAGAGAAGAAAATTTTAGAATTCAACTTCTTGGAAGTCTCAGAAATGTGACTCGGGAGATATTAAACAATTGAATAAGACTGAAAGAGAAGAAAGCTCAGGAAACGGATTGATTTATAATTTATTCCACAGATAGCCTCCCACAGAATGACATTATTGACCATATCATGGTAATGTATTCATTTCAGCCTCATTTGTTACAATAGCAAAATATCTGAGCAATTCAAATATTTATCAGCAGGTGATATTTAAGTTACGGTACTTCCATACAATGGAACATTATAATACCGTAAAAAATAATAAAGATTGTTATAAACTGACCTAGAAGTTATCTCCAAGATATAGAGAACCCAAAAACTTAGATACACACTTAAACCATGCAAACAGATAATGTAATTGTTTCATGCTCTCATTGAATAATCTATATAATTATATAAAATGGTGCGCGTGCACGCGCACACACACACACACAATATATATATATTTGCAAAAATAGAAATGATGCAAAATTGCTCTGTAACCACCATGTAATAAAACTAAAGAAATGTAGAAACAACCAAAAGAAAACAAAACACCATCTGCTTAGAAGTTCAAAATTCATTTTGAAATTATTCTTTAATCAAAGAGGAAATCAAAATAGGAAAATACTTTACATAAAAATCTCAATACAATTAACACTTTTCAGGGAGGGTAATTTATAGACCTAAACACTTCTATTAATTAAGATGAACCAAATTAAGCATTGTTCTAAAAAAATTATTGTAGCCCTAACCAGTTTGGCTCAGTGGATAGAGCGTCGGCCTGCAGACTAAAAGGTCCCAGGTTCGATTCCGGTCAAGGGCATGTACCTTGGCTGTGGGCACATCCCCAGTAAGAGGTGTGCAGGATGCAGCTGATCTGTTTCTCTCTCAATGATGTTTCTAACTCTCTATTCCTCTCCTTTCCTCTCTGTAAAAAAAAAATCAATAAAATATATTTTTAAAAAATAAATGAATTATTGTAAAGAACTCCAAAATTCAGGAAACTATAAAGATAAGAGCTGAAATTAATGACAACAATAAAACAAGAGATGATTAATTCAACAGCTCTTTCTTTGGAGAACAAAATGTAAAACAAATTAATCTTTTTTGTGGTGGAAATAGTAAACACACACACACACACACACACACACACACACACACACACACACATGGATGTCCGCGTCCTAACCCCCAGAAACTGTGAATTCAGTGATACCTTCCATGGCAAAAGGGGCTTTGCAGATATGATTAAGGCTCTTGAGATGAGTGAGCTGGATTTTCTTGATGTCAATCATAAGGGCCTTTAAAATGGAAAGGGAGAGGTGGGAGAATCAATCAGAGAAGGAGAGGTGAGAGAGATTGATGCTCCATTGCTGGCCTTGGAGATGGAGGAAGAAGCCAGTAGCCACGAAAGGCAGACGGCCCTAGGAAGCTGGGAAAGACAAGGAAAGGGGTTCTCTCCGAATGCCTGCAGAGCACATCGTGACATTGACTAGCATGCCTGTTTGTTTCTTGAATTTCCTGAATAATTTCATTGTCTTTAAAATGTACATGGTCAAAATCTTTCTTGGAAGTTCTCATGACAAAAACAAATAAATATACTTAACATTTAGATTGGAAGTAAGGTATATAACATAGTTTGATCATAATTATATAACTTTGTTTTCCTCCATTCCCAAACAATGCCTCCTGCATCTGCCAAACATGGGAAGTGTAGATTTCATCCAGTTGGCAATGGGAAGCCAGAGCTGTGTTGAGTTTGATGGTTTATAGAGCTTCTCTCATTTCAAATCTCTTGGAATTCTTTTAGCCAAAAGTATCTCTTTCCTCTCTCCCTCTCTCTCTATGCCCATCATCAGTTTGGTATTTGCATGAAATATTCTAAATGCAGTGGAGTTCCAGTTGGTTGTCTGAAATGGTCTCAACAGTGTCCTACGTTTATTTCATAAGGTTGAGATGCCAGAGCTTCCCTGATATATTAAAGGTGAAGTAGTCAGGCCTAGATCTAGCCCTGGAAGTGGCAAAGACAGGAAAGAGTGCAGGACCGAGGGCCGGAGGCAGGCGTGGCCTTGACCAGGAGCACACAGAGGCCTCTGGATGCAGAGGGACCAGGGGGGCAGGTGGTTCAGGCAGCAGGCAGAGAGACTGGGTGGAAATGTAGGACTGCTTTTTGCAGTGAATAGGAAGCTGTACTCTCAGCTGAGTTTGGGGATGGGGGAGGAGGAAGGGACAAAGGAGAAGGAAGGGATGAAGAAGGACGGTGGAGGGAGGAAATGGCCCATAGAAGTGTAATAAGGGCCCACTGCAGTCCGTGATCAGGAAATCAGAGCACAAAGATTCCATCATCAATCAAATGCTTACATTTTATTTCAAATTCATATCATTTTTAAAACTCCTCCTCGATTTTAGTGTAGAAAAGCCAAAAACCCGCACAAATTTTATCCCCAATTTTCATGGTCAGTGAAGGAAAATCATGTGGCTTCTGTGCCAGATTTATTTAAAAACAACATCCTCCTCCTTTATTTGCGTATTTCCACAGAAGACATTTCCGTGGCCTTCTGTGCTTTGCCCCCTCCATATGACCTGAATTGTTCAGAAACTTGAGGGGAGTTTGAATAAATGCAAAAGAGCCTGTTGGCTGCGAGTTGAAGGACAATATTGGCCATTCTGACCGCTTCTACAGGCTTTCTGGGTTCAGTCAAGAGGTCAGTCTGGCCCTTTCTCTCCAGGGTTCGCCTTTAAAACTTCACCACTGTATTCCTCCGCGCAGCTTCTGTTTAGGAACAGCATGCCTGGTAAAAGCTAGGTGGGGGGAGAGGGGGTCATTGGAGGAGATTCAGAAATATTAACACACATTAGAACGTTTTGCAAGTCACCAAGGCCCAAACGTGTAAAATGTTGAGGCTTGGGGAGGCTTTCTTACCGTAAGCCGTTGCACCTGGAGACATCTCACAGGGCGGCTGTAGCCCAAGGCCAGTTCCACCAGCCAAGGAGCGGGACGGGTTTCCCAGTGGCTTCTGGGGTAAGTGGTACTTTTCACCTGGTAGGGCGGGTTACGGTTCCGCATCGTAGACCAGCAACCTTGGCCTAGCCCAGGAGCTCCGAATCCCAGGCGCTGGTCCAGCTGTCTGGGCGGAGGTTGTCTGTCCCGGCCTGTGGGGTCTCTTTCTGTCACCACAGTGCACATCTTTCTTGCCTTTCGCTTTTGGTTCATTCCTTGACCCTGGACTTAACCGGCCAGCCCCACTCAACTAAAGGTGAACTCAGTGGAGAGCACACTGAGGAAGAAGACGGCCAAAGAATGTTATCTAATCACAGACTGTGGGTAATCACATGCCCCTGGGAATGGCGCGCTCAGCATCTCATGGGGGTGCAGGGAGAACTGACTAACGTGTGTCAGGCCTGGAGTTCCTAGGAGGGAAGGTGCGCTTAGCGTAATGGTGAAGGGAGCCTGTGCACAGATGCAATGCCGGAGCCAGGGTGGTGCTAAAAATAACGCAGAACTTTCTGTGAGGAAGGGAAGGAAGGAAATGCCTCACCGAAAAAAGCTTAACTGTCTCTTAACACAAACGCTCCGGCTACAGGGGAATGGACAACAGGGTGAGGTTCTGTTCTCAGTCAAGGGTTGTGTCCGCTCGGTTGAGCAACAACACAAAAGGACCTCTTGACCCAAGAGAAGGTTCTAGTCTCTGAAAAAGAGCTTTGAAAGGAGGAAAGGCAACCGAAAGCAAATGTTTGTTTGCATTTAGGGGGCAGGGGTTCTACAAATTGGAAAAGGCTGCACTAAATTAAAATAATCATTGGTGGTTGCTCCCGATAAACCTAGTGATGAAGAGGAAAGCTTGTTAGAAACCTAAATACATTTTCCATTTGTTTCTCTCTCAAACAAGGGCTGACCACCCTAACTTTGAACTAGCAGCAGTAAAGCATGCTTGCCTGTGTGTTTACAGAATGTAGTGTTAGAAGTCCTCGTTGGGTGTTGGGTTATCAAAACTTACTGCAGAACCAGGAATGAAAACTCTGCTTCCTTTTCCTAACCTCTCCTTTCTGACCCTTTCCTACTTTCGTAGCCAGGCCTCTAGAGTCTGAAGCAGATTAGCAAACAAATAAATCCTTGAATGTCATGGAATACTTTCCCCAGCATAAATGGGATTAATCTGCCGGCCCAGCAAATTCTGCACTTCAAACCCCCAGCTGCGTAATAAGCCATTTCTGCCAAGCCCCTAATTTATGGCACAAAGGTCACATTCCTTTAATGTTGGCGCTGGCTAGCCTCCTCCATTCATCCTTCCCATCCCCTCTCCAAGCCTCTGGGTTTTCTCCCGTTGAGAATGTCCTGTCTGTGGCCTTTAGGACCCTTGGTCCCCAGAGCAGCAGGAGGAGTGAAAGACCCACGTGAACTGCCCCCACCAGCTCCAGAAGGTCCTCCTCGAGAGGTTCCAAGGGGGCGCTCTGGGCGTGAGGACTGGGGGTTATGGCCAAAATGGATGCTATAGAGCCACCAATCCTTGTTCCCCCCAAATTTTACTTGAATCATGAGGAACAACTGAACTGGTTCCATAGATCCCACTTAAACATTTTAAGAACTAAGCAAGGGTTGAGTTTTGCAGAGTACAGAAGGCAGGCAATCTGTCCCTGATCTTAGGATTAGAGGGCATCTCTAAGCACCATTTGTTTCAGTGGCTTGTCCAAGGTCACCGAGGGAGAGGGGGGCAGGCTGGTGGGTCACAAGCACTCAGGCTTCTGTCCCCCGCCCCCCCCCCCCCCATTTCTCCAAACTCCTCTCTTTCCCAAGGAAAGGATGGCCACACAGCCCCCACCAGGAACCTAAGGGGGAAAGACTATTTTGGGGGGTTATTTCTCATAACAACTGGGTAAGTTCTGACTCATGTTAACATTTCCCTTTGCTCACCATTTGAAACCTGAGCAACAGGGGCCACTGCACAAGTCCTTCCTCCCGGTTAGTGTCAAAGGGAAATGCTTCGCTTAAAGAATGAGGTGCTCAGGGCTGTTGTGATACTGTGTCTGAGCATCACCATGAACAAAGCTATGACGAAGAATGAGGCCTGAAGCGCCCTGCAGCTGTGAGCCCCAGGCCTCAGGGCATGCGCGCCAGGGCGGCTCCTCCTCCTGAAATTCAGGGTCTCCATCAGGCCTTCCAGCTAAAAGTGGAGGAACAATGGGGAAGGAAGGATGAGAATGGAAGTGGTTTCCAATGAGCAGTGGTGACATCATCAGGACATGTTATTTCAAAGCAGAAAAGAAGGTAACAAATACAGCTGCCTGGCCCCGAGACCGGGTGGTTGGAGTGTTGACCTGCACTAAAAAGGTTGCAGGTTCCATTCCATCAGGGCGCAGACCTAGGTTGCAGGCTCAATCCCCATTTAGGTCCCATAGGGGAGGCAACCAATCAATATTTCTCTCTCACATCAGTGTTTCTCTCTCCCTACCTCTCTCTCAAAAATCAAAAACATACCCTTCCTATAGTTTAAGGCAACAGCTGACTGTTTTTAATGTGCAGTTTAGGAATACAAACTGTACAGAAAGAAAGGCAAGGAAATGGTGAGTGGAGGATGCAGGCTGATGGTGGGGGGGACAGGGTGATGTTCATGGGGAATGTAGGAGAAGAGGTGAGTCATTTCCCGGTCCTATTTTTGTTTTGGAAGATGGGTTCACAGATGTGAATTCCTCATTAAAAATAAGTAAGTAACAAAATTTTAGCTGTACATTCACAGCCCAATGATGACAATGGATCATGAACCAAGGACCTTGATTAATCCAAATTAAAACTAAGAATGACAATTCCACTAGTTTCCTGGGGCCACCATAACAAGCTACCACAAACTGGGTGACATAAAAAATGGAGACTCCTTGTCTCACATTTTGGAGGTGGGAAGTCCCAAATCAAGGAGTTGGCAGGGCCGGTTCCTCTGAGAGTGAGGGACTGACAATCCAGGCCTCTCTCTGGGCCTGCAGGCGGCATCTGTCCCCTGCGTCTCTCCCTCTGTCTGTGCCTCACACTTTTCTGGTTTGTAAGACACTGGTCATATTAGAGTAAGGGCCAAGCTAGTGCCTGAATTTGAACTTTCTCCAAATGAGGGCGTATTCTGAGGTACTGGGGGTCAGGACACAATTCAACCCATAACAACGATGTGCAGTTAAGGCCCTTGGCATGGGGAAGGGGATAACATAGTTCTCGTTATCGTGCACTTACCATGCCGTTTTCAAAGTGTTTCTTCATTTTGGCACTCCTGGCTTAAACGGGGTGAGTGGAAGAAAGTGTAGAAAGGTCGTTGGTACATTCCAAAGGGTTATTCCGGGGGGGAAGTGAGGGGAGGGGGAAGAATCTCATTCTCTGAAAGTCTTTTTAATTGTTTGCAAATATTCATTACAAATCTTTAAGCCAACTTTGATTTCATTCTCTGTCTTAAAGCAACCACTAAATCCTAGGTATCCTTCCTATCACATGTTATCTATCAACATTTGAAATGTCCTGGTCAGCGTGGCTCAGTTGGTTGGAGCATCGTCCGGTGCACCAGGAGGTGGTGGGTTTGATTCCAATCAGGGCACATACTCACGTTGCAGGTTCGAGCCCCGGTTGGGGCATGTGCAGGAGGCAACAAATAGATATTTCTCTCTCACAGCAATGTTTCTCTCTCTCTGTCCCCTTCCTCTCTCTAAAAATCAATAAAAAAGACTACATCTAATATAATAAAAGGGTAATGTGCAAATTAACCATCACTCCAACACAAAGATGGTGGCACCCATAGCGACGGGGGCAGGACACTGGCATCGTCACCCTGGTGACGGTGCCAGCGCCCCACACCCCGGCTGCAGAGGGAAGGAGAGAAGGCTGCAGACACAATGTGGGGCTGCTAGGCTGGGGGCATGCCCCTGGTGGCCACCACAGGGCTCGGGGCACGCCCCCAGCCCTGCGGATACAATGCAGGGGGTCCTCTGTGCATGAGCTGCAGAGGAAACACCTTTTCTGACCGCTCATTGGCTAAGCTCCCTGTACGCCACCACTCGCAGTGTTCTTGATAAGGGGTAATAATCCAAGAAGGTGATGTAGGGTTTTTCCACCTCACTCCTGGAGGAAAAAACGAAGGTCTGCTGCTGGAGGGGCTGAGAAATGTCATATCCTGCCCTAGCCAGTTTGGCTCAGAGTATAGAGCTTCAGCCTCCTGTCTGTAGGGTCCGGGTTCGATTCTGATCAAGGGCATATACCTAGGTTGCAGGCTCTTCCCCGGCTGGTGCTCAGGTCAGGGCTCATGCAGGAGGCAACCAATCCAAGTGTCCCTCACATTGATGTTTCTGTCTGTCTTTCCCTCTCTCTTCCACATTCTCTAAAAATCAGTGGAAACATATCTTCAGGTGAGGATAAAAAAAAGAAAGAAAGAAAGAAATGTCATATCCTATGAAAGACACATCTTGAAAATGCCTAAAGAAAGTTGTCATTTTTTCGTGGTGAAGGGACTGGAGTCTGTGCTGATGAAAACACCTTGGCGGCTGCAGCAGTGGCAGCAGCAGCGGGGTGATGGGGCTGGCGCCTTTCCCTGCTCAGCCCAGTCACCTCCCGCAGAGGGAGGCCAGGCTGCAGCTTAGGACATCCCCTGAGGGATCCCAGTCTGTGAGAGGGGGCAGGCTGGGCTGAGGGACTCCCCTCGAGTGCACAAATTTTGTGTACTAGGCCTCTAGTTTTTAAAATAACAATGATAAAATGTGTCAGCCTTTCTCTTCCTGGAATCTACCTTTTGAAGGAGTTTTTATGACTTAGATGTACAAGGATGTTTATGGCAGCATTGTTTGTACCAGCAGAGAACCCCACATCCAAACAAAACACACTCGAGCTATCCTAAAGGTGTGCCAGCCAATAGGCAGCTGGCTGTATCCCTGTTAAGCACGCACTGAAGCAGAATGGAGGTGTGTAACTGCAGCCAGGCTGGGAGCGAGTTGAGGAAAGTGGGACCCAAGGCACCTGAGAGGGGGCGTAACGTGCTCAGGATGCACAGCGAGGAGCTGCAGACAGGCTTCCAGCAAGGACACGCCTGAATGGGAAGGAGCCTTGGGAAGCATGGATCCAGGTGCGGACAGTGTCATCGCTCCCAAGTGGTGGGCTACGGATGATATTTCTTTTCTTTTTCTTTTTTAAAATATATTTTTATTGGTCTCAGAAAGAAAGAGAGAGGGGGAGAGAGAAACATCAATGATGAGAGAAAAATCATTGATCGGCTCCCTCCTGAACGCCCCACACTGGGGATTGAGCCCGCAACCCAGGCATGCGCCCTGACTGGGAATCTAACCATGAACTCCTGATTCATAGATCGACACTCAATCACCAAGCCATGCCGGCCAGGTGAATTTTCTTTTCTTTTTTTTTTTAAAAGAAGTCTGTGTCGCTCAGGGCCCTCCCTTCCTCCCTTTCTGTTCCCTCCGGGCCCAGTGAAGCCCAGTCTCATCCACCAGGCGGTTTGCACGCTGGCCTCCTGGTCTCTGGCTTTCCTCTGACCCTCTGCCCGGCCCTTGGATCTGGCCATCGTCGCCTCCAGTGGGTCCCCGGCCTCCCAAGAAAGTCCACCTCTACAGGCTGCCTCCTCCTAACAACCCAAGCTTTTCTTCTCTTGGATCTGCATGACCAGCTCTGCTACAAGAAAGCCTCAGCTCTTCCCTGCCGCTCACCCTTCCACGCTTCCGCCACCCGGTGTCCTGGCGCGGTTTGCTCCCTCGCCCTCGGGTCCTCGGGTCCTCGGGTCCTCGGGTCCTCGGGTCCTCGGGTCCTCGGGTCCTCGGGTCCTCGGGTCCGCGGGTCCTCGGGTCCTCGGGTCCTCGGGTCCTCGGGTCCTCGGGTCCTCGGGTCCGCGGGTCCTCGGGTCCGCGGGTCCTCGGGTCCGCGGGTCCTCGGGTCCGCGGGTCCTCGGTGGCCTTTCCCTCTTTGCTGAGCTAAAGCCTTTGGCGCTCAGCCACGACCCCCTCTCTGTGCAGCTGTGCCTGGCTTTGCCACCTCGAGCCCTCTCCTGCCCATGACCTCCTGGGTCATCTCCCCCGCCCCCCCCCAACCCCCCCCCCCCCCCCCCCCCCCCCCCCGGTCCCAGGCTGGCTCTTACCTCATATTCTTGCTGGAGCGTCACTGGCTAAGTGGCCTCCTGGGTGGGGGGTAGCTCCCGAGGGCAGAGCGCACCTCCCTTAGGTTTTAGAAAATGCCCTCCAGCCCGCGCTGGGCCTCTACCTGGTGTCCAACAAGCATATGCTGAGCGATGCCAAGGAGTCACGGTTGCTGGGTGTAAAATAGCAAC